GGTAATGAAATGCTATAGACTTAAAAGCGGTGATGGTTGTACAATTTTGTGAATATTCTAAAAACCACTGAATTTTTTACTCTGAAAGGGTTTACATTATGATATGTGAATAATAATCAATTTAAAAATCTTTAAATATTTAAAAAAGAGATCAGCATTATGACCTACATACATGACTGAAATAGATCTGTTTTCAACGTTAAGCAGACTGGCCTACATTTTGCCAAAATGAGCTTCTGTACTTGCCAGCTGTGAAAGGTTTAATTGGATGTTTTATATGTCCTTGAATGTTTGACACTTTGTTTGGCAGTTTTCCATTCCCTTCAGTTTTCTAAACTGGCTTTTTGCCGGCTTCTCATTCAGATAAAGCTCTAAAAATTTATGATTTAGGTCACAGGGGAAGAAAATATTGGGCAGACAGACACTTGTATAAGGTTTTTTTTTTTTTTGCGGTACACGGGCCTCTCACTGCTGTGGCCTCTCCTGTTGCGGAGCACAGGCTCCGGACGTGCAGGCTCAGCGGCCATGGCTCACGGGCCCGGCCATGGCTCACGGGCCCAGCCACTCCGCGGCATGTGGGATCTTCCCGGACCGGGGCACGGACCCGTGTCCCCTGTATCGGCAGGTGGACTCTCAACCACTGCGCCACTAGGGAAGCCTGGTGTAAGGGTTTTTTACAATTAAAATTGGATGGATTCCATACATATCAGCTGATCCACTCAGCCTGATCTGCGAGGCCTCTTAAATTAAATAATATACTCTTGACATGAAAATCATTAAAAATTACCCCTCCAGAACCAGTAGTCATTGTTGATACTAGTTACATGAAACCATTTTCAATTCTTTTTTTATGTAGGTGGCAATTTTATGTCAGTTCCTCAGAGAGATTGACTACAAAACAGCCTTTAAATCACTGCAGGAACAGAACAGGTATGAATGGTTTTTGAAATAAAATGAAGTTGAAATTTTTCTGCTTAAGAAAGAGGAAGTAACTGAGTTCTGTTTTTCAGTCATGATGCTATGGACTCCTACTATGACTACATATGGGATGTTACCATTTTGGAATACTTGACTTGTATCCTTCATCAACATATGTGTGTGATGTTAGAACAATTCATTTCTGTAAATTAAAGAAGTATTTAATATTGTGTATTTTCTAAATAAAAAACAAAGAACAGTTGAGAATCTATCGTGATATTTAATAGTATCAAATTTGTTATTCTTAACTAATTCATTTAGATCTTCATCACAAAAGAGGAGAAACAGATAAAAGACAAATTGCGGTAAGTTATTTTATGCCTTGATTCTTCAATGATGTGCTTAATTTCCCTAATACTAAACGATTTCCTGTCTCATACAGCATCAAAGTCCTTACAGTGGCCTGCAAGGCCACATGTGACTTGACCTCTAGCTATTCATTCAACTCTCCCTTGCTAACTTCTCCTACACCAGTACCCCTACTGTTCTTTGAACATGCCAAGAACGTTCACTACCGAATGGCCTGTGAAATTTTCTCTTGCAGGAACATTCTTTTAACTCCCCTCAGGTCTCTTCTCAAATGTCACCTTCTTAAGAAGTAATTGTCCTTTCCTGACCATCTTATAAAATAGCAATGTCTCTCCCCCTTTCCCTCCAATACTCTTATTCTCATTTCCCTTTTAAAACTTTTCTCCATAGCACTTATCTACAACTGACATACTGTATATTTACTTATTTATTGGCTGTTTCCCCATGAGGTAGGAATTGGTTTTGTCACAGTTGATACCTAGAATGGTGCCTGGCAAATAATAGATGCTCAGTAGTTACTTGATGGATGAATTATTTATTTAAATTTGACTTATAAACCAAAACATTACAAATTCATGGTCATTTTTACAAGCCTAACATTTGCTGTGTCACTATTACCATATATGTTTTCTCTTTGCTCTTTCACTCATTAATAAAAGTATATGCCGTTTATTAAGTGTCCTTTAAAGCTTTTTACTTGGACTAAATTGTATGGCCATTATTTAGAGGAAACAGAATAACAACAGCATCTTTCAAAAAAAAAAAAAAAAAGAGGAAAAAGAACATGGTCCAGTTCCACTTAATTGGAGACTACTCATTCTCCCATTTCCAACTTATCCAGGGCTGGAAGGCAATGCTGAAAATTTCCCAGTTCCCTGATGGCATTTCTAGACTATCTCTACTTGTATCATTTTTTAAGCCCTTTCTCCTTGGAAGCTTACACCTACCTCCTTACTAGCTCATCTAAACAACTACCTGGATGTTCCTGTGCATGCATCAAAAGACATGTGATCAACTTATCCAACACCCCTGGCACTCCAGGTTCCATTATCACCTTTACTCTTCATCAGCCACCTATGGCCAGACCTTTTTGTCAGAATTGCTCTACATAAGATCTCTGTGCCAGTAATCGATCCCTTTCTTACTTCCGGGCTCCCATGTTCCTCATCATCAGTGAGATGTTCAAGTTCATGACCAGGTTTTCCCCAGTCTGTCAGCCCTTTTCCAACTTCTGTTCCTTCCCTACTGACCTTGAGTACAGCAAATACTGGCCTGTGTACTCTCAGAGATACTGATTCATTTGATCTGAGATGAGACCCTGGGATCCAATTTTTAAGTTTTCCCAGGTAGTTCTGATTATAAACCAGATTTGGGAACCCCTTCTATCTATGATTGACTGTCGGGACTACTCTGATTAATATTTTCAGCATCTTTGCTTTTTTGTCTTTTGCTTCATCTGGAAAAGTCCCAACCCTGAATCAGTTCAAAAATTTATGCTTTTTTTCCCCTGAGCCACTGAGTTCTGTTGGAAAAAATCCTACAGCTGTATAAACTTGTGCCACTACCAAACCATGGCCTCCAACCTTAGCTGGCCGCTCATTTCTTTTGTTTACCTGCCAGTGGTCAGTGGTCTGCATTCTTTTTTAGGGAATATTTTAGACTTTCACCCTATTAAGCCCCTGTCCTCTCTCCCTTTTCCATTTTCAGTAACTTCCTTGTCTGTTTGGAGTAGACCAGAAAAAAGACTGACCAGCCCCTGTCCTTGTGAAAGTTATATAGTCTTGGGAGTTGTGGCCCCGTGAGTGGCAGCTTCACATTCCTGTTTCAGGTCCCTGCTTTCCACCTTCAAAATAATTGACAACTGTCTTCATTGCTAAGTCCACGCTTTTAGTCAGTAAAAGCTTATGCTACTCCTTGATGAAGACAAGTTTTTATGCTTTTGATTCTATCCTTTCAGTGATTGTCCCTTTCAGTTAGTTATCTCCTCTCCTATATTGTCAACCACTCCCATACCTATAAACTATTTCATCCTTAATAGAAACTTCTCTTGACTGTACTCCACCTCTCTCTCATCCCTTCTCTGCCTAGTTTTTTTTTTTGCGGTACGTGGGCCTCTCACTGTTGTGGCCTCTCCCGTTGCGGAGCACAGGCTCTGGACGCGCAGGCTCAGCGGCCATGGCTCACGGGCCCAGCCGCTCCGCGGCATGTGGGATCTTCCCAGACCGGGGCACGAACCCACGTCCCCTGCATCGGCAGGCGGACTCTCAACCACTGCGCCACCAGGGAAGCCCTCTGCCTAGTTTTTTAAAGCTCCTTGATCCAATACAATTTGACTTCTGCCGTCCCCACTCTAACTGTTCTCAAGGGTCACCAAATGCCAAAGCCAGTGAATACTTTTCAGTCTTTATCCTGTTGTTTACACTCCTTCCTTCTTGAAATTCTTTATTCCTTTGGCTTCCCTGGCATTTTTACTCATTTCTTCTCCCTGACTCTTCTGCCTTTTCTTCTTTGTGGGTATTTCCCTCTGTCTACCCCTTAAACTTGGTTTTCCCAAGAAGTTATTTAGTCCTTGGGTATTTTCTGATTGCCCTGCATTCTCCCTAGGTAACCTCATCCCCTCATGGTTTTGACCACTACCCATCTAGGACGTGTTATTTCTCTCAAATATCTGGCTCCTATTTCAATTTCTGTCTTATACTTTGAACTTTTATAGCCAGTCGTCTTCAGGATACTTTGTCTGAAATAACTCTTTAGTTATACCCCACTACTAGCTTTTTCCACATGTATTCTTTCATGTGGAAATGGCATCATCCACAGTTCCTCCTACCCACTAACCTAACTGATGACCATTTCTGGATAGTCTTAGCTCCCTTCAAGCTACCTATCAGAATAGTTTTTGTTTAAAAAAAAAAAATATATATATAGGAACTTCTTTAAACAAAAGGTAATTTTAAGGTCCTAAAACATGCTCTCACAAAACACTCCATGGCAGAATACTATTATGGATTTTTATCAGGCTCAAGTATTTCTAATCATGAAAGAGAAGGGTCATTATGTATTATAGTGCTGAGCAAACTAGATATATTTTACGTATTAAAAAAGTGAAGCCCTGAAACATGAATTTTGATATTTCAAGTTATTTTGTAGGAGCCTTAATTGTAAAAATGTGTCAGATTACATGTAGAGTTTATTTACTGTTTTTTTTAAGATACTTTATTTATTTATCTGGCTGCACCAGGTCTTAGGTGCAGCATGTGGGATCTAGTTCCCTGACCAGGGAATCGAACCCGGGCCCCCTGCACTGGGAGCATGGAGTCTTAGCCACTGGACCACCAGGGAAGTCCCTTTACTGGTATTTTTAGTCAAATAAATTTACATGAATTTACTTAATGTTACTGAAGATAATTCCACAAACTATGGTTCAGTAATTGATCTTTTCCTTGAGTGGCTCCAGTCAGTCTTTGTTAATTTCTTCTACACCTCTTAGCATCTACAATTAGAGGTTCAGTTTATCATTGTTAGCAAGTAGGTAGTTTTATATTTTGTATACTAGCAAAACTTTGTTTTTGACCAGACCTCTAATAACATCACTTTTCTGTTTTGGAAGATCAAAGCCATCGGCCAGACAGAATTGAACGCAAGCAACCCAGAAGAAGTGTTACAGCTGGCAGCGCAGAGAAGGAAAAAAAAGTTTCTTCAAGCAATGGCAAAACTTTACTTTTAAGCAGTTAGTTAAAATTTTTTAACTTTTATTTTTTAAACAATGGGCTAAAAATAAACAGTATTAAAAGATTAAGTTTATATAATACATATTTACATACTTAGTGGCGTTTTCTTTTCAGACAAAATACTGAAACATATTAGTTTAAAAACAAAAACTCTACAGAAGACTTCACACCATAACAATAGCTTAAATTTATAATTTCTTCAAAGGAAGAAGAGATTCACATGTCCAGTAATAGAATAAACTAGTAATCTAGTATAATTTTTCTAATCAAATCCACTTTTGAGGCTGAAATTTCATTTTTAAAAAACTAAAATATTTATGTAGAAGTAGCTATATACAGCAAGTTCTTATGTCAAGGTTTTGTTTTGTTTTTTAAATAAATAGATTTCTAGGAGTCGTATACATTTACTGCTTTTCTGCCTTAAGAAAATACAAGTTTAGGTCAAGTGTTAAGCTTTATCACTTTGACACTGTCCTTAACTCATAATGTAGGAATTTAAAAAGGACCTTAGCAGTTTTGCAAACATAAATAAAGCCTTAGTCACACTAAATTGAGATAACCCTAAAGATTTTTTTTTTTAGAGTAATAAAGTGACTTTCTCATATAAATAGTTTGAAAGGGTACTTAAGTTTTTCGCCCAAATTGTGATGTACGAAAAAGTTATTATAAAGCAACTTATACGTCAAAGCCCCATGTAGGAGCCACAGCATTTATTTTGTTTATAATTTCTTTGGCATTCCCACTGTTTAGAGCACAGTTTAAACACCATGTTCATCTAAGATTTACTGGTTAAAAATGTTATGGCAAGGCAAATAAACATAGTCAAACAGATTAAAGTTCACCATTTTTAAAAATTCAAGTTTTATAATAGCTTGCTACAGCAGCTATAGATAAATTAGTCACCTTATTACAAAACTAAACCTTTGTAAACAAGTTTAAATTTTATTTTCAAGAACCAAATTGCACTAGTTAAGAGTTCATAAATTTTGAGAATCTAAAAACTAGATTCAAAGCACTGTATCACTTAATGTACCCTGTAAGGTAGCACTTATCTAGTCAAAAACTCCAATGATGAAATTCCTAGTTTATCAAGATAAACATAGTAACACCGTATCAAAGAAATTCTTGTCATGAATCATGGCTGGCTTCTATCCAGTCAATGTTGGGAATGAAGTCATCTTTGTAAACAAGTCCTGCTGTTTCTTTAAACAGCGAATATAGGAGTTAAATTTCCTCCTTAGTGCCAATTTTAAGTGGTTTTTTAAATCAGAGAATGCCAGTGAAACTTCTGAATCGGCCAGGACAGCCACAGCACTATTTTCCTGTAAGACTTAAGTAGTTAAGTTCTATGAAATGCTACACAGCACTTCATCACTTCCAACTTGTTTGCTCAGTTAACTTTAGTGTTTTCCTGGTGGTTTTTCAGTGCTCTTCGGTGGTGTCATAATGCCTCCATTGCAAACTGGTGACAACTGTCCCCCCTTTCTGAAGGTGTTTATATAATTTACTTCATCCTGTACATGTGAAGAAATCATGCAGAGGTTAACAGCTAAGATAAAGCATTGATATGGTAAAACAAAGTCAAACAAGGCTTCTGTGTACTAATTTGAGACTACGTAGGCCTAATATAATCCTCTCTTTATGTGTTTGCAACTGTGATTAGTCATATTTTAGAGGTTCAACTGCCTGCAACTTGTATTTTTAAAAACTCTTACCTGGACTATTGGCATTAATCTTGAGACACTTCATAAATCTTGCTTTGACTTCAAAGTTATTTTATTAGCTTTTCTACATTTTTTTTTTTTTTGCAGTACGCGGGCCTCTCACTGTTGTGGCCTCTACCGTTGCGGAGCACAGGCTCCGGACGTGCAGGCTCAGCGGCCATGGTTCACGGGCCCAGCCGCTCCGCGGCATGTGGGATCTTTCCGGACCGGGGCACGAACCCGTGTCCCCTGCATCGGCAGGCGGACTCCCAACCACTGCGCCACCAGGGAAGCCCAGCTTTTCTACATTTTGAAATCAGTGTGCCCATTGGAACTTTCTATCCCCTACCATCTTATATAACTGCTTGAAATATTATTCCGTAGTAGCCTTACTATCAGTTTCAGTGACTTACCAAATAGTAAGACCAAAAAACTACAAGAAAGAAACATACCAGCATAGCCAGATAATTTGTATGTGTCTGTATATTGTGTCTGTCTTCCATAGAAATCTTCTTAAAAACCTTCAGCTTCACTGGGCTAGTACTTTTTACTATGCTGACAAAAGGCACCATCCAGTCTACACATTCAGAAATGTTGTCCCATTCCAAACCTAGATAAAGAAAAGTTAGAAAAATGTGAAGGTTACATCAGAAACATATGCCTACTTATTTGCTTGTGCTTCAGAATTTAAAGATAGTTAATTTAAAATTCATGTAAAAAAGGAAACCAAAACAAGCACATAATATAAACCAAAATCAATGAGTTTATGTGGGATTAGCAGCTGTAAACTACTGTATATAGGATGGATAAACAAGGTCCTACTGTATAGCGCAGAGAACTATATTCAATATCCTGTGATAAACCATAACGGAAAAGAATATAAAAAAAGAGTGTCTCTATGTGTATAACTGGGTCACTTTGCTGCACAGCAGAGATTGGCACAACGTTGTAAATCAACTGTACTTTAAAAAAATTAAAATAAAACAAGTTTAGCAAGTCAAAACAGACTATCACTCTCAAATATGTTTATAATGTGACTATTTTGAGGGAGAAAAAGACTTAGAGCTTCTTAGCCAGTACCTGCTACATAGGAAATTGAAATTGTCAAAACCCAAAGAACTCTTTAATGCGGAGCTATAATTATATTGACTAACTTCAACTGGATTTAAATTCCATTTGACCTTATTTTTTGTTTGTGGATATATATTGAGGATTAGAAAGTACTTCTAATAGAAGGGGAGATAATCGCTAAACTGCTAACTTTTTTCCATTAAAATTTTAAATTCTTGTTTAGCAGGATGCTAAGTTCAAAATAGTCCCTTTAAAATTTGTGAATGGGTAAGAAGAGAACAAAATACACTGTCTTACCTGAGGCTTTCTTAACCACTTCACGAGAGGTAAAATGGCACAAGGCAGCAGCAGCGAGTATTCTGTACTGGAATTCTAATGAATCGATGGCAAGAATACACAGATCTAAAAGCTAACAGAGGAAAAAGTATAAGAATTTAGGAGAAGGATGAGTACTACATGTCGCTACTAAACATCATCAGCTAACATTTTAGATTGCTTATGATGTGGACCATATGCCAAGAATTGCTAAAACTACAGGGATCCAAAGAGAAATAAGCTGCCACCCTGCAGGAAGTTCAATCTTGTTAATAAACAAGTAAAGGATTGTTACGATATAGCATGATGTGTACTATTAGGAAGCGCACCTGATCCAGAGTGGGGAAGACAGGGAAGACTTCTGCTTAAATGAGTCTTAAAATACAAGGTAGCCAGGAAGACTGGGAGGTAGAGAGTGTTCTAGATATAGGAAACAGAATTTACAAAGATAAATGAGAAAGGATTACTTTTCTTTGGAACTCAAGTCAGAACACGTAAGGTAAAAAATATGACATAAGGAATATCTTCCCTTCATTATTTTAAAAAAAGGGGGTTGCTGGAGAGGCATGGCCTAGGTTAGATCATAAAGGGTCTTTAAGAAGTCAGAACTTTAAAGTTCTGACTGATTATTGAAGTTACTAGAAGATTTTAAATCAGGGAAATTACATTTTAAGAACAATCCCTTAGACTGTGGTGAAGCAGAAACACAAGAAGGGAACATGTTTCTAAACAGATGAGTTGAGAGGTAGTACAATCCAGGCAATAAGAGATCTGAACAACGATCAGTGAAATTATGTAAAACGGTTAGATTTCAGAGGCCTGAGGTGATACCTGTCCAGTGAAATAAAACTTATTTTTGTCCCCATGGGTCCAGAAGACAGAAACACGAGTAGAGGAGTTGGAAATGAATTATTACTATTATATACCTCTAGAAGCTTTCCACACTGTTTATCAGCTTATCAAAGGTTTGCCCTATCAAAAGCGTTTAGCTGCCTAGGATAATCTGGGATGCTAGGAAATCTGAGGGAAAAAATTAATATGACTTCATTAGAAAGTTCTACAAAATGAACCAATTCTAATATATTTACTGGTTCTCCAGTTTTAGTGTTCATAATGAGTTTACTAAAACACAAGTTGAATTTCAACGTAGGTTACTTAAACCCATCCAGAGTACCACAGTTTCTTCAGTTCCATGTGTAAGATTTTCACATCCTACACAGAATAAGAATCTGGGTGTTCTTCACTTATATATGGCAGGTACAGCAGCCTTAAGGTCCTACTTATGAGAAGCAGGCAGGAAAGAATGGTACCCTCCTCCTGTAATTACTTTCTTAGAATATTTGTTATACACTGGCCTAGGAAAGTTTAATTTAAACTTAAAGTTTTAAATAATGTTATAACTAAATTAGGTGATTTTAATTTTAACACATAAAATAGGTTCCCTGTATATTCAAATATGAGTGTAAGATAATTTTACAGAATAATTTCATACTATTATAAAACCTAAAACAACTGGCTGAAAAATACCTTTCCCCATGTTACATCAAAAAGAGGTATTTAACTCTCTACCTCATACTCCTAAAGAGTAAAAAGTGCTCATAATATATTTACATGCAAGTTTTAAAACTTTGTTTTCTAGAATTTTCAGTAAGCAATGTAAATATTGGGGACAGAATTTTATGCATCAGAAGTTTTGTTCTAGTCAATTAAGGAATGAATTTAATTCAGTATGCTGTCATTTTGTCGTGTTGCCTATTTAGCACTATAAATACCCTAAACAAAACCTGTAATTAAAAACATTAGCAAATATTCAATAAAAATATCAATACCTGAGCTATTTGAATGAACTTTTCCTGAGAATACTGAGGTAGAAGAACTTTAGGAGCATCTTTAAGAGCATCAACTTGGAGGAAGAGATTTAGCCAGGAGATGACTGTTACAGGACAAAGTTCCCATTTTAAAGCCTGTTAATGAAATTAAAATGCCTGTTAATAAGTATAGGTATATATACCACATTATATAGGTACTTCCTTAAATAGTCATTTAAGAAACTTTTTGCTTTGGGCATATTTCTTCCTATTTTCATAACTATTTATAGATAGCTCACAATCTAAAGCTGCTTGTGTTTTAGTCTATTATTGATACAGACCCCTTTATTATTCTCTAGTTATCTTTATTGACAAAGTTCCTTGGACCTATTTTTCATTCCTACTTTTCTCATTTCTTGCAGCCCCTCATCTTCCAAACGTATTCTTTATTGAAACTGCCCTTTTAATTTTATTCAATAACTCCACAGCTAATTCCATTCAGATCTCCAAAGAACTGATTCTACACTTTTTCTTTATGTGATCTATAATGGCTTCTGTTCAACATGTAAAAGCTAAAAAAAAGACAAATCCTAATTTATGATTCTCTCCATGAAGCCCTGGGACTTTACCATTTATAAGAAGTCAAAAATAATTAGGAGAGAACAGAGAGTCTTAATGCCTGTAGGACCACCCAGAGGATTCCATCTTCCCATTATATATCCTCATACTATACTTCAGGTCTGAATCTGGATAACTTTGTTACTAGAACATATTAGAACTATATTCAGTGTCTTATAATACCCTATAATGGAAAAGAATCTGAAAAAATATATATATATAAAACTGAATCACTTTGCTGTACACCTAAAACTAACACAACATTGAAAATCAAGTATATTTCAATAAAAAAATTTCTTTTGAAAAGAATATCAGCATGCCAACAAGATCCCATTCTTACAGAGCTATCAATCTGAATGTTTATAAACATAACAAATTTATATTATAATGTATACAGTTTACAGATAATCTTGTAAATGAAAGTCATATTGATTGTGTTTTCTTGTGTCCTATTTATAAAACCAAGATGCTCAAATTTCATAACATACTATCTAGTAGCTAACATTCACCCTTTAATCTCTAATTCAAGGCCCAATTAAACATCTTTTTTTTTTTCAACTAGCTCTTTACTTTCTTTTTTTTGTTTGTTTTTTAACATCTTTATTGGAGTATAATTCCAATTAAACATCTTAATGCTTCTTTACCCTTCTATTAAAAGCCTTTCCCATGCATAAAGAAAAGAAAAAAAGGCAGTGAAATAATTCTCATTCTCCACCTGCTGGAAGAAGTGGAAAATCAGAACTAAGATTTGAGAATCACTGTTGGAATTCATTTATATACACATGATATGCTAACTACCTATAAGTTTCGAAAGTGTTGTTAAACACTTAAATTAAGAAATAATATTCTCAATAAAGGAGAATTGAAAGATACAGAAAAATAGAGTTTACAGGTTAAGCAAATTCCCCTCCCGTCTTAGAACTGGATCCTAATACTAAAATCTCAGTTTTGACTACTTAACATTGTAGTCTTTGAGTTTAGTAAATTACAGTTATTAAATTGCAACTAGAAATAATAAAGATACATTATTACCTTTAATATAATGAGTTCCATCCTTAAGATATCCTCTTCACTGCAAGCACCATCAGTGACGTAAGCAAACTCTTGCAGCTTAGGAGCGTAGATTTCCTTTAAAATAGATTTAATTAGTATCAAGCACAGTTGAGAGTGAGATTAAAACAAAAGAATTATATACAAACCAATCTAGGCTTCATTTTTAAAGGACAAAATGATTATAAATCTTAATAAAATAATTCTACGACAGCCAAAGCAACCTTACCTTTAAAGATATTTTTCATAGCTGGGTATCTAAATTAGCCAACTATATTGATTGAAACATTTTTATAGAACTGAGTTTGAATCTTAGTTAATAAACAATTAGACTATTTTAACCAGTCATTTCAGTGACTGGTTAAAACGAAAAGCCAAACTTGTTTTAGGATTGCCTAGTATATCAGACTAAAACAAGATACTCAACAAATAAGGTCTAGAAACTGAAAACATTAACTTTATCCTAGTACAAAAGTATGGTTATTCAAACAATAATTTGTGCAGTTTCGTTGATGACAGGTCTGTCTTAACAGTTCAGAGAATAACAACTAGAATGACCAGAGGAGTAGAAGAGATGTTGCCACAGATGAGAACAGGCTAAAGATCAAGATTTCAGTCTAGAAAGGTATCTGAAACACACCATGTGATTTCAGGTAAGGATATACTGAATACAAACTTATTCATCAAATTTGGCAGAATTTGGGGATAGCCCTTAAGGCTCAAAAGAAAAATGTGGAAGAGGAGAAAAATACACTTAAGGAAATTAATGCATGATTCACAGTCCCTCTTCTACCCTCAAAACAATACAGGCTTCAAAAATTTCAGATGAAGGTACTAACGATATCTTTATGTGTTGAATTTAAGAAAAGTAAACTGAGATCGTGTGAAGGAAAATCTCAGGCAGGAAAGGTGTTTTCTTCTATCCTAGCACCATCATCAGATATAAAAATACTAGGCTGGATATAGACCATTATTCTAACCTAACATAGCATTTATTGCATTTGATTGGTTAATTAGGTTTCAGAGACCATTTTATTGAATCCAAGTGCTATAACTAGGTATAGAGAGACAGCGTTGGTCATTTTGTTTGGCACAGTTAGCCATGGAACATTTCACCTAGATACTAGTTCTAGAATTAAACCAGGGACTTATAATAGGCTCAGATACTTTGAAGGGAACCATGATAATTATCCTTCCACCCAAATCATAGTGTTCAGAAAATGTATTGGAAAAAACTCACTCATCTTTCCTAAGGATTAACATATCAAAAGTGGTACATAGTATTCTCTGGGATTAATGAATTGGTTAAGACAAAAAAAGTTTGCGGTAAATATATCCATGGATAAACTTTGAGAACTTACCTCAAGTTTGGAAGCAATGAATAATGAGGTAATTCCAATGAGTTGAAGCATGTTTTTATTTATATCCTTTTGTGTCAACATAAATCTATCAAAAAAGTCTTGCGCAAGATAAAATGTTTCCCTATGAAGTGTGTATACTTCACACACCTAGAGAAGAATCCATTTAAATATTATTCCATTAATTTCTCCAAATTAGAAAGTTACCTCTTAGCATACCAGATTTCAGAACACTTTCTGAAGTCCAACTTGCTTTTTAGGATACCAAAGCTAAAATGGGGGAAAAATTAACATGTGCTAATAGGATAAACCTATTACAGTCCTCTTAGTTTTATAGGTTTTTTTCACATAGACTTACTGTGTTTATTCCCAGATACATTTACACTTGCTGACTATGGCTGAGTACTTTTTTCCTATTAAGCTTCTAATGTTTTTTAAATTAATTTTTATTGGAGTATAGTTGCTTTACAATGTTGTGTTAGTTTCTACTGTACAGCAAAGTGAATCAGCTTTACGTATACATATATCCCCTCTTTTTTGGATTTTCTTCCCATTTAGGTCACCACAGAGCATTGAGTAGAGTTCCCTTGGCTATACAGTAGGTTCTCATTAGTTATCTATCTTATTCATAGTGTCAATAGTGTATATATGTCATCTAATTTTTATTGATGCCAAATGGGTAAGTTTTCATGCTTAGTTTATACTCTAATAGTTCCAACTGATTCTCTTCATCATTCTAGATATACATTTAACTACAAAATGACAACTCTGTTCCTTTCAATGTTCTTACATCATTTAAGAATTATAGAAGAAAACTGAATGAATAACAATGGTGATTGACAAAATTTTTATCTTATTCCTTGTTTCTGACTATAATGGGATTCCCCTAATGTTTCACTATTGTTATTAATAATAAGTAGTATCTGTCATTTCCACATTTAATATAGGGAAAGCTTTTAATTCTCAAAATAACTTCATGAAGTAGGGAGGAAACAGAGGGACAGACATACATGAGTTTCTAATAAACACTTAATGTGTTAAGGAAATCTATCCCTAGTTTATTGCATATTCAAAAATCAGGAATGTATACTGAATTTCAAAAAATATCTTTTACATCTATGATATATAACCTTATGATTTTTCTCCCTTAAACTATTAATAGATTTTCAAATGTTGGACCATTTTTGCATTCCTAGGTTGAAAGAAATATTAAGACAAAGTAGAGTTTAATGCTCTGCTGGATTTGATTTATTATATTTGGTTTTGTATATATAATCATATATTTAAGGGAAAATAGGGATAAATTTGATAGACAACCACTGAATAAAAATCAATGTAACATAAAAAGGCAAAATAAAATAACATCAACATAATTGTGCTTAAGTTGCATCTATGATCATTAGATATTTAGAAAAGTCAAAATCCAACTACATTCTTGTACACACGATTGAAACATAATCTTCCCTTCTAGTCAGAATAAGGAATAAGATGACCTGACTCAAAAGGACAACAGTTTGCAGTCTTAACGAACTTTTCTGATAGCTTCTGAGATCTATTCTGCCGTGTGTTTCTCCACCAAAAAGCCTGTGGTAGTTCCCCCTTGGAGTTCATTGTCTCTATCTATATTAAAGACAGGGAAACTACAGAGCAAATATCCAGGGGTTGGGGTAAAATTAGTTTGTTATCAATATAAATAATCATTTCAGTAATTTTAGAGATCCTTTCAGAATTATTATCCAGAGAAAGGGAATGGGCCTAAACAAGAGAGGGCACAGATATTTAGGGCACAGGCATTTAGGGACTTCTGGATCACTATTATTCCTTTAGATTAATGGTACAGCTCATTTCTGAAAGGAATAGAGGGATATAACAAAAGCAAGCTACATGGAGCCTCGAGGGCTTAGGGCTACTGGATATTCAAAGCCTCCTTATCATTTAGGATATAGAAATTAGGATTTCAAATCATAATTTGATTTTGGTGATGAAGAAGAGGACTTCTGAGGGTCCTGAAGCCTAGTCCTGGTTCTTTACATTGCATAGCAGAATTCAAAACCTTGTCAAATTCTGTTCCTCTTGAGTATCCTTGGCACCAGGCACAGTGCCTAGTACACAGCGATACTCAGATACCACAATTTCTGAATTGGGTTTGGGTTGTATGGGACCTAGTGGCTGTGTCCTCATGATTTTACTCTTATCAAGCAGTCATTTTCCATTTTGGTATCCTCAGCTACAGTGAGTAGCCCCCCAGAATGGCTCCTGGCAATAGGTAATATACCATGAAGGCACATGGAAAGCATATTTATGTCTAAATGTTTTTCCATCATACAGACAAAAAAGGAAATTTGTATTGCTGGAACATACCTCTAAAAGCCAGTCTAGAAGTATTGACCTCATCTGTGGTTCCAATTCAGAATGCAGAACTTCAAAATGTTTGTCATGAACATATCTGGTCTCTTTTTTTAACATGTTTAGCCAAACATCCTGTGAACATCCCCAGCTATGGAAAGGGGCAAAATAATTGTGTGACCTACATAATATACAAGCTACCTGTTTCACATAGAGTAAACTCAACTTTCAAACACTGAAATCCAACTTTGAATTAGAATTTGAAAGGACAACCTCTTAAAGTAAATCAGGAAAAATTGCTACTTTTAGAAACCATTTCTTTAGCATGAAATTATACAGCAAGAACTTGGACCATGAGAATCTAAATTGACAGATTTCAAGAGTGCTTTTTAGTCCCCATCTATTTATAATTTACAAAGGCACCTGTTTAAGATAACGATGTTTTCTCAAGAGCAACACTAAAAAAGTAAATATTTAAAGCATATGATCCCAGCAGAGACAGTCTCAATCACCTCCAAATAGATCATCACTACATTACAGTGGGGTTAAGGTGGGACAGTATGGAGAAGAGGAAGACTGGTGAGTTTAAATGTATGAGTCCATTAATTTGCTTATTAAAGCCAAATATAAATTATTACACTACACATTTTATATAAGTTGTACCTCTTAGTCATTCATTAACTAGAAAAAGTATAGACCTTAGTAAGTTGGCTTGGTAAGAAAGAAAAATAGCTGATCTATCAAATGAAAATGCTGTACATGTTAAAATACTTCCATGTTAACAATTTAGATAAATTATTTAAACTCCATTAAAAATGTGATTCAGGGTTTCCCTGGTGGCACAGTGGTTAAGAATCCGCCTGCCAATGCAGGGGACACGGGTTCGATCCCTGGTCCGGGAAGATCCCACATGCTGCGGAGCAACTAAGCCCGTGCGCCACAATTACTGAGCCTGCGCTCTAGAGCCCGTGAGCCACAACTACTGAGCCTGTGTGCCCTAGAGCCCATGCTCCGCAACAAAGAGAAGCCACCACAATGAGAAGCCTGTGCACAGCAATGAAGAGTAGCCCCCGCTCACCGCAACTAGAGAAAGCCCGCGCGCAGCAATGAAGACCCAACGCAGCCAAAAATAAATAAATAAATAAGGTGATTGAGTTCTTCTGATAAGGCTTACAGTCTTCAGCAAGCAAGTGAAAATAATGTTATAGAATCAATGTTTTAAATACCCATGTCATTTGCAAATGGCATTACTGTCAGATAAAATAATATATGCGTAAAGACTAGTAAAAAAAACAGTTTTTCTACAAGTTTTTCTAATAATGAAAGCAAAAAAACCTCAAAATAGCACCATATATTACATCAGTAAATTTTAATCTTTGACATTAAATTACTGAAATTTTTCTTACCTTAAATCAGGCAAAGGTGAAGGATTAATGAAAAGATTTTTAAATCTGTAATTTGTAAATCTGGAGAAGTCGCTTGTTCCTATTTCTTTGTGGGGTGTTTCAATGATAATGCAAGGACTGATCCCCCCAGATAATACAGGTGGCCAACAATTCTGTCATTTAAAAAAAATAAAAAGAATATCTTTGTGAAATAGACAAACCAGCTTTTGTCTTGGATCTTTTATAAATGAAAGCTAATACTTCTAAACAGTCTACATTTTTCCCCAAACACCGTCATTAGCTAACATTGCTGACTAAGCTGACATACATATTTTATAAATAAACCATATAGCTCATTTCAATCTTCATAAAGAGTAACAGGTAGGATGTTTTATACAAAATACAATTCTGGAAATACAAGACGTTAGGTACTGAGGGAGAGGAGAAACAACAAAACACGTGTGTAGTCAAATATTAATCACTTTCAAGATTATAAAATTTTCCCTCTGTATTTAGCAATAGTGGCCAGGGCACCTTGTTTTATAGACAGCTACCCCCGCCCCATACTCGTTAAGGCCTTTTCCACTACTTTCAAATACAGGAAGACAAGACCTTTAAAGTGGAAACAATTACTTAAATACTTAAAGGACACTTTCGCCAGTCAATGCTGGTTTCAAAGAGAACCACTGTTTCCAAAGTGTCTTCTGTACAACACATAGGAAGAATAGGTGGCAAAGGGCTGGGTGCCAGTCTGTCAGTGACCTCACATCCTATTTATGCCCTAGGAGCAACCATCAGGACTCTCCACTATAGTCAGAGAGGGAACAAAGAGCAGTCCATTGGACAGATTAGGCGGGCCCTGGTGCACCAGGCAGCTCCTAGAGGGAGGGATTTACAAAGAGGAACCAGCTGCGTCAAGGCTTACTCTGTAGCTGTAGTAGGATTCAGGGACATAAAAACCACCCAAAGACAAGCGCCTTCCTGCTGACCTCGAAGGGCATTAAAAGTGTCAGAGGAACCTTCCTATCACAAAGCAATAACACAATTCTATTCTGTTTTGTCCTACATTTGTTTCCCCCAAACCTAGCCCAGTTCTGCATTACCCTAATCTCATACTGATGTTTCTTGATGACCTCCTCTTTTCTTTTTTTGACATCCTGGAAAATAGAAAAGGCCATTGTTAAACTAAAGTCCCTGCAAGGAATTTCCTCTTTCTCCTCTCTCTCTTCCCCCCCTTAACTCACCTGGGCCGTTTTTCTCTTCTTGGCCTGAATTATCTGGGTTTCTTGTGGGGAATCCGTCTGACTGGGCTGGGGCTGCTGTTTAGCTTGTAAACGGCTACTATAGAGTTTTTAAAAAGGAAGCTTAATTAGTAAGTGACGCATTTCAAAGGCAGCAGCCAATTCTGAAACATATTTCCAAGACAAATAACGTTACCTGCGTCTTGACATTCTCTTCTTTCAGGTGTATGAAACCTCTGGAGGTGAGAGGAAAAACCAGAGTCAAATACATTGTCATCCATACTCTCCAAGTGCCATTCAGAGGTTATAACTAAGTCCCTCAGGAGATGACCTGAGCCGTCTTACCACGATGACTTATGCAGTATATTAGTGCATGATTTCGGACTCATGCTTTTGGACACATGCCTGCATTTCCTCAACGAAATGAACAGCCCGGATGAGAGCGTCTTCAGAAATTTGCAAACCACCCTCAGCGCCCGGAAAGCGCAGGGAGGCAGATGGGTCTCTTCTGCGTCCTGCAGTCTCTCCCCCGGACAGCCCGAGTGGGGCTTGGGCAGCGCCCCTACTTCCCCCCTCCCATCCTGCCCGAGCCGCGGGGAGAGGGGGTTGTGGAGGCGAAACACTGTGGAGAAGCCGGTTCCGCGCCAATTTGGAGAGTGGCGGTGGCGGGGAAGCAGGGGGCGGAGGGAACTTGTGTCACGTCCTTCAGTCTCCTTTCCCTCCTTCCCAGCCCCACCGGACCCTGCCCATCGCTTGGAGGGGCACCGGGACCCCGACTACAGATGGGGGATGGGAGTGATGGAAAGGGAGTTCAATTAATAAAGACGAAAACTGGGCTTGTGGGGGAACTTTTCTCCCCGTGAAGGAGACCCAGACCCCCATCCTCTCTCCTGCGGGATAGCTCCCCAAATGGGGATGGCAGAGAGAAGCCCCTAGAATGAGGGGCTTTTCCGTGGCCTCCCACTTAGGGGCAGCCCTCCATCCACCGCCGCCTCCCAGGCCCCCTGCCAAGGGTCCTGACAGGGACGGATCGCGGGGACCCATCGCCCCCAGATGCCTAGTTCTCAGCCCTCCCACTTTTCCTCCCCTAGGCTCCCGCCCGCGGGACGGATCGGCCCAGAGGGGGGGGCTTTCTCTCCTCCCGCATCCCGCCCTACGCCCAAGCACCTCCTCACCGCCAGACCCGCTACCGCTCGGCTCTCAGCTGGCGCCGGCGCCAACCCAATATATAGGCCGGGCCAGGCCCGCCCCGCACGCATGCGCCTCAGACTGACACCTCCGGACAGTGCGCTCCCCTCCCCCGCGCGCCAGTCCGCAGGCCCGCGCGGCGCACCCTGCCGTGAGTCCGCGCCCGCCCACCTCGAGGGGCCGCACAGCCGGCTCGGCTAAGCCCTCGGTCCGCGGTCACCTGAACTTCACCTGCCTGTGCGGCGGGAGGGAGTCTCTCAGAGGCTCCTCCTCCTCCGCAGCCCGGCTCCCCGCCGCTCGGCTTCATCTCCCGCCAGTACGTTTCTGTCCCCTCCCTTTTTCAACTCTCGGACGCCGCGGGTGTCAGGCCGCGGCCCGGCCCCGGCGTACGGCCAGGTGGAGGCGGCTCGGGCGAGCATAGCGTGGCTAGGAAGTGGCCATGCCTTGGCGCACCCTGGCTGTCCCGCCTAGGCCTCCAAGAACCCGGGTTTTCTGAAGAGACTCGGGGACCACCGCCCCTGCGGGAGGAGCGCAGCGTTGGCTGGCGAGCTGGCCAATGGGAGGCGAGGACTGCAGCACAACGTGGAGCGGCTGCAGAACGTAAACACAGCCGGGCGCGCGGCTGGCCACGTGTGTTCCCGCGCGCCACCTAGTCCCCTGGGACCACCGGCAGCCGGCTGTGGCACCCCAGGGCAGCCATGCTCAGGGATGCCTGTCGTGCACTTTGCTCCAGCCCGCCGACCGAGGTACGTATCAAACCCTGTTTTCCCGCTCTCTTCTCCGCCGAGCCGGTTACCCTCCCCGTGGGTGGGTCATCCGCACCCCGCCGCCCTGCCACTGCCTGGCGGCTTCCCACTTAGCAGTTCCAGCGCAGGAAGCGCTCGCGCCAAGCCGCGCGCTCCCTCTCTCCTCTCAACCTCCAATTCTGGGGCCCCCAAGGGTAAACACCTCTCCGGAGCGGGGCCGAGGGCGGCACTGCCCCTTCCGCCAGAGAACAGTGGCTCTCCGGGGGTCACGCCGGGCGGGGAGAACGGTTCCACCACGTGCAGGCTCGGATCCCGCCCCGCCGCCGCCGCCGCCAGCGCGCCCTGCAGAGCCCGCGCGAGCCGTCAGCGCGGGAGGGAGCCGACCGCCTCCGAGCTGTAATGGGAGGAGGCGGTCCGACGCGTTTCCCTCCTCTTCCCCCGTATCCAAAATTTGGGTTCCCTCGCTGCCTCTACTAACGCCCCGCTCCAGTGCACACCAAGGTTGGACATCTCCATGCCGTTGATACTCCGCAAACTGGGTTTGCGGCGGGAGCAGTGGGGCTGGGGGACGTCGGCGGGAACAAAGACCCCCGGGGCGGAGGAGCCTTGCGAAGGCTTCCTTGAACCCGCGGCAGCTCGGGCCGGAAGCGGGCAGGCCGTGTTTGTCTCTCTGCCCTGACTCGAGTGAGCCGCTGGGAGAGGCCGGGGAAACCGGGCCGCCTGCGCCGACCCGGCGTTGCGGCCCAGGCGGGAGCCCTTCCCGAGATGCACCAGGAGGCGGCGGGGGGGACCGTCTCGGGGTCCCCGCCCTGCGCTTTTGTGTCGCTCCGCCCGTGCGGGGCTCAGAGCCTAGAAATAACGAGTGCTCTTTGGGCAAAGTCCTCTTTCAAGATTTTCCCTCCACAGTCTCGAGGCACCGGCAAAGTAATTGTTTTTCTCCCAAATTTACGCATGAGGAAATAAGAGTCTTGCTCAAGGTGACATGGAATCAGAAAAGACCCAGAATCTTGTCAGTCCCAAGAAACGTCATACTATTTATGATGCTTTGACGGCTTTCTCGGAGGGGTGAATTGGCTCTCTTTTGTAGTCACCTCAAAACGCCGTGCTGTTCCGGTGTAAAGCTTAGAGAGCTAACAGCGTGATAATAAGAAATGGGAGGCTTTCCAGCAAGCGCGGGTGACCTGAACATAAGCAAAACTGGTGGCCTCCATGAATGAATTTGGTAGTCAAACCGAAAACCAAGCTTACAGTGTTGACGCCCATCACTGGGCCGACTAGTAGATTACGTGTAACCGAGACACCGTGATTAGAAGTGTTCTTTGGACAATGCCGTTGACTATGAAATGAACAGGGTGCAATCCTAGTAAAGGAGAAATTAAAAACAATCCTAAGACTGCTTTGTGTGGAAACGGACAGAGTGAATTCTGCCGTATTACAGGTACCTGGTCACTGGTCAACTGGGACTAAAAAGAACATGTGCTTACCTTTCAGATGGAGGGAACTTCCCATCTTGCTCTGGCTGTAAGTTATTGGATCCCTCTGAGCATGCGTTTCCTCTAGAAAAGATAAGACGCTCGTTTCAAGGGTTGTTTCAAAGATTAAATTTTATACTGTGTATAGAGACCCTCTCTTGCATGTGTACCTGTCATAGAGCAGATGCCAAGTGCTATCTTCACTCTCTTATCCACCCCCCTTACTCATTTATACCCATAGAGATTAAGAAGTAGTTTTAAGGATCCTGAATAAAACAGGAAGCTGAATTATGAAATTGCTGTTTCCCAGAGTTTTGTTCTTGTAGTTGTCCTTCTGGGTACCTATTTTAGGTATCATCTTTCAATATGTTTTCTTTGTTTCATATTTGTATATGTTCATTTTTAGCTCCCTCTTCTTTTACTCATCCCAGTTTTAAAATTCACTTACTTTGAAATGTATGAAATCCCTTTATACTTGTAATAATTTTAGAAACTTTGGCATTTTCTAAAGTATACTTTCTCCATTGAAGATGCAAAGTTAAAACACCATGGTAAATAAAGTATTGGCCTCTACAGTGCTCTCATTTTCAGGAAAAAGAAAAAAAAAAAGATTCTTAGAAGGACAGATTTTTTTAAAAATAAATCAGGCCCAGCCCAGTTATTTCTTGTTTCTGCACCTTTTCTGTGCCATACCTTCTCTGTGAAGCCTTCCCAGACCTCTTTCTCTGTGCTTTTCAGTCATGCTCACCTCCCAGGACAATAATTACCAAATAAAATGTCTTTTATCTCCAACTAGGCCTTGGACCTTGTTTTGTTCATTTTTTTTTTATAGCCAGTACCCACCAGTTCAGAGGCATGCATACATAATAGGACCTTGGTAAATACTGAATTGAATTATGGATAAGATATCCCATTATAGAACTTTAATTCTGTAAGGTTAGAGTGATAGATGAAAATTATTCCCAATTAATATTAGGATTTTTAAAATTAATAAACTGTTTTTTAGAAAAGTTTTAGATTTACAGAAAAATTGAGCAGGTAGAACAGAGCTTCTATGTAGTCCTCTACCCTTCCCCACCACAGCACAGTTCCCCCATTATTGACATATTAGTGGGGTGCATTTGTTACCATATGAACCAATGTCTATGCATTATATTATTATAATGCAAAGCTAATAATAATTATTAAAGTCCATATATCATTCAGATTTCCTTAGTTTTACCCTAATGTCTTTTTACTGTGGCAGGATACAGATACCACATTTAGAAGTCATGTCTCCTTAAGGTTCCTCTTGGCTGTGACAGTTTCTCACTCAGACTCTCCTTGTTTTTGATGATACTGACAGTTTTGAGGAGTACTGGTCAAATATTAATATTTTGTAGGATACCTTTCTAGGGGAATTTATCCGAAGTTTTTCTCATGGTTAGACTTTCTCATGGTTAGATGGTTATGGGTTTGGAGGAAGAAGATCACAGAGGTAAAGTGTCATTTTCATCACATCATATCAAAGGTCCATGCGATCGTCATGGTTTATGGCTGCTGACGTTGACCTTGATCACCTGGTAGTGTTTGTCAGGTTTCTCCATTGTAAAATTGCCCCCCATCCCCTACCCTTTCCATACTATACCTACTCTTTGGAAGGAAGTCACTGGGTGCAGCCCACTCCTAATGAGTGGAATGTTATGTTCACCCTCCTTTAGGGTGAACATAATTTATTTGGAATTCTTCTGTGTGTGAGATTTGTCTCTTCTCCCCCGTTTATTAAGTCATTCAATGATTTATTTATATTTTCATCTTGTTGCTCAAGTTGTTCTACCTTTGGTCAGGGTAATACCTGTTTATTGTTATAGGGCTGATTTGAAGTTAAAAATGAATGTGGCTAAATGATAATCAGCATTTCTCACGTAATAGGAGAGGAATAAAACTTTTTCCCCCATTTGATTAGACTTGCTTATTATCCCTATTAGCCAAAACACAACTATAGGAGAAAAATCCTTCCAAATTTTAATACTGGATTGCCCATCAGACTGTTCCTTTTATTGCCTCATCAAGGACATTTTTCAGTAAACTGGCTTCATGATTTACATGGCAAGTGGTGGTACAATGACTCCCAGTGTAGTTTGGTGCCGCTGCCTTGATTTGTGCTAGGGCACCAACAGTTTTATATACCATTGCACTTTCGTCATCAGAGCAAACATTAACACAGTGAAAAACACAAATGTCTTAATTTTATTGTGAAAATAGTTGTGACCTTTTGATCCCCCTGAAAGGGTCTTTGAGACCCCCAGACATCCATGGAACACACTTTGAGAACTGCAGACCTAGTTTCCAAACCAGAGTGCTGGGAGTCATCTTAGGCATTGCTTTCTTCTTTTTTCTGAGCTCCATAATTACAGTTAGCACTTCCTGAGTGAGATGTTGTGAAGCTCTACTCTGAGCTTTTACATTGTATTGACTCCTGTAATCCTCCACCACTGTGAACCAGGGACTGTTACTGTCACTCCCACTTTACAGATGAGGAAGCCAAGGCACAAGCGTAATTTGCCCGAGTCCCATAGTAGAGTCTGGCTCCAGCCCCCCACCCCCCCTCGCTGTGCTGCCCCCAGTTACCATCACATCATTCCCAAATTCTCTTTTTTTCCTCTGCCTTAGTTCAGGACTCCATTCTCTCAACTAGTGCAGTAATCTCCTAACTGGTTTTCCTGACGTGTGTTGCCCCTTCAGTTCTGCCTTACAGTGTATCTCCCAAGCTCTCTTTCTAAAGCACAGATCTGCCCACGCAGCCACCGGCCTGTTATGGATCACTTTGGGTTAAAGGCCAAAGACCCTAACTTAACACACAGAGCCTC